CGCCGGGCGCAGCATGGGCGGCCCACGGGCCTGGGCGCTGCTCTGCCTCGGGCTCCTGCTCCCGGGAGGCAGCGCCGCGTGGAGCGTCGGGGGCGCCCAGTTCTCGGGACGCAGGTAAGGACTGGCCCCGCCACCTCTGCGCCCTGCCAGCCCGGGGCTGGGGGCCAGGACGCCAGGCACTCCCTGTCCCCCCACCCCTCGCAACCTTCACGCAAGCCAGGGATTGGGAAAGGGACCTGGTCCCCCACCGCAGTGCCAGCCCAGGGCGGGATAGGGACCCGGGGCCGCCCCACTATTTGGCAGAGGCTCCCAGAAGTGCAGGGGTCCCCTATTCCATGTGTCTGGAACCAGCAGCCTCCTCTACACACTCCCATTTCACCCTCAGAGCCCCAGAGGAGGGGGAAGGAGAACACCGGGGAGAACCCCCAGGACTTCCCTCCCCCTAACCCAAGCCCCCCCTTATTCTTCCTTCCCCAGCCCTGCACATAGGAAAACCCAGGACATCCCCTAGCTGACACTTGGGGACTCTCCTCCCTTTTCCTTGCTCCTGGCTGGCTTTTTTTAGTACTGGCTATTTATTTCACTGGGAGGAAAAAGACTGGGGTGGAGTTTCAATGCCCCTGGGTCAGTGTCGGCCCCCAGGGACATGGCATTTCGGACAGAGATAGGAGGGAGAACTCTGTCTTCCTGCCGCTCTCTCAGGAGCTGGGAACATTCTTTCTGCCGGTGTTTGTGGAGCATCTTGCAGTACCAGTAAGGTTATATGCAGTGTCCTCATTAATCCTGCAAAGACTAAATGAGGTTTGGGAGCACTTATTCCCATTTAGTAGATGAGCAAACTGAGGCCCCAGAATATAAACATAATCTTCTAGGTCTATGGGCCATTAATAGAAGAGCTAGGAACCAGATCTGTGTCTTTCTGACCTTGATGACACTGTTTGAACCTGCCTGGCCCCTATCCTGGCTGCAGCCCCTACCCATGCTGGGGTCCCCTCTTAAGGGCCCACCCAGCAGACAGTATGGAGTATCCAGGCCTTTTCATCAACAGGTAGCAGCTGTCACAGCCACCATCTACTGCATGCTGACCACCACAGGCCTGGGCTGGGTATTTCACCTGCATCCATCGCTTTCAGAATCTTCCCAACTACCTTAGGAAGCATGCATTTTTATGGTCCCTGTTTCTTAGAGAAGAAAACTGAGGCTCAGAGAGGGGATATAACCTGCCTGGGACATGGATGTGAACCCCTAGAATCTCAGATGCTAAGGTGACCAAGATTCTAAAGTGGGAATTCTCATTGTCAGGATCAGGATGATGGTTGAGAGGACTTAAGGTCCAGACTGCCCTCCAGCCAGCCAGTCCAGGACAGGGCCTCCCAACCAGGGTTCCTCACCCTCAGGGCTTCCTGAATGGGAGCAGGATGGTGGCTGTGGGTAGGTATCTGGTGGTCACTGAGGACTGTCAACCTACCTGTTCACAGAAGGCTCACAGGGGCCTGAGCATCACAAAAGTCCCAGGACACTGCTGTTGCTTCTATGATACAGACTGAGGCCTAAAAAGGAGTAGAAGCACCTCAATCCAGGCCAGCCAGTTTCAAATCCAGCGTCCTTTGCACCCCAGCAGAGGTGGTCAGCTTGCAGGTTTGGTAAAAGTTTGCAGGTCATGGTTAGAAGTTAAGGGTTCTGGCCCTGACTCTCTCACCCACTCAGTGAGTGTGTGACCTCAGGCAGGTCACTTTACAGCCCTGGGTCTCACTTTCCTGCTCAGTTTCCTCACTGTTTCCCTCTTTCCTCCCTCATCCCCCCCTGCTCACAGGCCTGCTGTCAGGATGGACAAAGGACCAGCTCGGGCCCTGACATATAGTGGTTCCTGCTATCACCAGCATTAGGTGGGGGAAGGGACCCTAGCTGGAGGAATCTGTAGTCCTCGGCTGCCAGGACTTCCCCTTGTGGCCCCATCCCAGCATCGTTGGAGACAGCATGGGGATGTCTCGCCCCATCAGCCCTCCCTCCACCCCCAGCCCGGCGCCCCAGGCGCCCCTTGGCAGCCAAGGGACAAGAGGCAGAAAAGAGGCTTTGTGCCTGGGGAGGGGGAGGCCTGGGAAGGCATCCAAGGGGCCGCCCCCAGCCCCAGGAATGTGGTGAGATTTTGAGACCCCCCCCCAGAACCAGGGTGCCCCGGGGCTGTGCAGAGCTGACTTGGCTCACTCCTACCCCTGTCTGTCCCCCCATCCCTGCTGGGGCTGCTTCCTGCCTCTGAGGTCCCTTCTAGCCTGAATCCTTGTCTAGACTCAAAGCCACCACCAGTCTCCTGGCCCAGGCTTCTTCCCCCTGCAATACCAGCTTCCTGTGGGCAATTCCTAGGATCAAGGAGAGTGGAGAATTCTCTTCCCAGCCCCTCTCCAGAGAACTCAAATCCCAGCTCCACCCGCACATAGGTGACCTAGATAGGTGACTTCTCTCAGAGCCTCAGTTTTCCCCTCTGTAAATACAGAGCCTGACAATCCCTATCATGTAGTCAAGGGAAGGACTTCATGTGGAAGATGCTGTGCTGGTGTCCCCAAGCCCCAGGGAAGGCCCTGAACCACAGTTGTGGGCTGTGGGGCCCCTGTCATAGTCCAGGAACAAGAATTACCAATAGCTCTTAGCACCATGCTAAGCACTTTGCGTGAAACCTCCCCTACCAGACGAGAATCCACTGTCCCTATTTCCAAATGGACAAAGTAAGGCCCAGAGAGGTTCAGGGCCTTGTCCAAGGTCACCGAATTAGGCAGCAGAGCTAGGACTGGAACTTCGCCTCTAGTGTAGGGTTCTAGCCCTAGTCACTCCACCCCCACTCGGTACATCTCCTTTCTTTCCTCTCCTTTTCATAACTGCCCTTGGCCCCCAGCCCGCTTGGCTGCCTCCTGCAATTAGCCCCTATCACTGTTCCGGATCACAGCCCTGGGCCCCGCAGAGACGAAGTCCCCTGGGCCCCTCATGGCAGGGGGTGGAGGGCAGGTTGGTGGGGGGACTAGTGGGGGCAGCTGGTGCCAGGCTGAGCTGGTCTGGCCTGTTTTCTCTCCCCCAGTGGGAGAGAAAGGTGCTGAGTCCCACATGCTGGGGGCCCAGAAGGTGCTGAGTGGGCAGAAGTGGCAGGCCCAGGAGAAAAGGGATGCCTCCTCCCAGCCCCTGCCCTTGCCCCATCCCATAGGAGGTGGCCCAGCCTCACCAGGTTCTTGGGCAGCTTATCACGTACCACACCCCAGGAAGGAAGCCCCCCGGGGCTGCAGGATTGAGGCAGGGTTTCCAGGGGCTGCAAACATCTCTGGGAACCTGAGTCCTGGCCCCTCTGTCCAGGTCCACGACTCTCAGTCATTCAGCAAACCTCTCTTTGAGCTCCCTCACTTGAACCCCTCCTGGCTTCATGTCCTTTCCCCAAACACTCAGGGTTGCTGCGAGGTGTCCAACTCTGTCGGGGTCCTCAGGACTGAGACCCCAATGATAACTAGGAGTTTGCTGGAGCAGCGGGAGGGCTCTCCAGGCAGAGAGAATCCAGTGTACAAAGATCTGAGGTGCCGGAGAATGCAGCAGGTGGGAGGGAGGGCAGGGATGTCAAAGGGGGGCTGCAGGAGTGTGTGGAGAGGGGAGCAGCATGTGGGACTGAGCAGTCAGGGCTCACAGGGCGATGGGGAGCCACGGTGGGCTGCGGACTTCTTGGTGGGCAGTGGCAGTGTTAGGTCTGTGCTTTACAAAGAGCTCCTGCTGCCTCCGGAAAGTGGACCAAGGGGTGGGAAGGGCAGTGGGGCCAGGCTGGGACGCTGTGGGGGAGCTCAGGCTCATCCTGGGGGCAGCGGAGGTAGGGTTTCAAGGCCAGGGAGGGCTGAGGCATGGTTATTGGTGACTCCCCCTCTCCCTGGGGATGACCTTGAACCCCACCTGGCCCAGCTCTTGGCATACGGCAAGCACAACCAGAGGCTGCCATGAGCACAGGAGATGGAACCTATGGAAAGCCCTTCCGTGCCCCCAGAGGTGGCCATTTGATGTGAGCGTGTGATTTTTTCCCCTGACTTTATGCACACAAAGCTATATATGTGCACACATGTATAAATAGCCATTTGGCTTTCTCTTCCTTTCTTACTGTGATAGACTTTCACAGCATCCGTGTCTAGTGGTCCTATTTAAGCTGTTCTCTGCTTTGTACCATTCCCGATGGCACTGCAGCAAGCACCTGTCACCCCTTCCATGGAGTGTGTGGCCCACGGCTCTGTTGAGCTTCTGCCATCCATTCTCCCTGCTTTCCCACCTCCATGCCTTTGGCTAAGCTGTTTCCTCCTGCTGGACTGATTCCAGCGTGGCACAGAACAGTGAAGGGACTTCCCCAGGGTCCCACATGGAGGTAGTAGAGTGGTCCTGGCCAAGGACTTTCTCCTTCAGGTGGGCCTGGCTGGGGGCGGGGCAGTAGATAGGGGGCTGGATTTCAGTGGTGGCAGGCACCTCTGTGTTGGCTGGGACATTCCAGGTGCTCAGTGGCCCTCAGCCCTGCATGGGGTCATGGACCCTGCGTTTTTTGTTGGGGCTGGGAAAGGAGGGACTGTTTCAGGTGACCCTTCCCAGCCTGAGCCCCCACCCCACCCCACCCGACTTTCCTTTGCGGCCTGGAGCCCGGGGTCAGCAGGTTCCCAGGCTGGAGGCTTCACAGAGCCACATACCGTGGCTCAGGAGATGAAGAGGAGACAGGAGCTGAGGCTTTCAAGATGGAGTTGGGAGCCTAGCTGGGCCATCTGTATTCCTGGGTTCAAATGCGGCTCTACCATGCACCAGCTCTGGGACATGAACAGTGTTTTTCCCTCCTGGAGCTTCAGTTTACCCCTCTGAAAAATGGGGGGGTGCCTTCCTGGATCACTGTGGGAAGATGATGTAAATACCCTTAGTATACAGTAGGTGCTCAATATATGCAGCACAATATGATTATTAGCATTTGGACAAGTCAGGCCTCCGTGCTTGGGACATTGTACATCCTGGTTGTCATACAGAGGGGACACAAGGATAAGTGAGAGAGGGCCTCTCCTCTCACATGCCAGGGGAGGGAGGGGGCAGACATGAATCACCAGCTTAATTCAGCGTGACAACTATACCAAGTGCTGCAGGATCCGGGAGAGGGAACCATCAGTTCTGCTCAGATGGAAGTGGAGGTGGGAAAGGACAAGCGCAGTAGAGCTTTGAAGGTAGGAGGTGCCAAATGGAGAAGTGGAGGAGGGGTGCTCCAGGCAGTGGGCCCAGCATGAGCAAAGGCATGGCAGGGAGGGACCTAAGGACACATGGACACAGGAGATCTAGAGGGCTGAGGGTGGGGGTCGGCAGGCCCAGGTTTCCATTTCATGATACTCCTACTGGGGGGAGACTGAAGGGCAGGATGGAGAGGCCACTGCTATTATCCAGCTGGGAGGCAAGAGGCAATGGCAGCCTGGACTGGTCAGGGTTGGAGAAAAGAGATGTTGAGAAGAGAGTCGCTTCAAAAATGCCCTGTTCCCATCTTGTCCCCCGAAGCCCATTCCCCAAGACCTCCCGAGAGCCCCCAGCATGGCCACCCCCTCTAGGGCTGTGCAATTCACTCCTCAGCCACAGCAGCACAGAGACTCCCACTGGGGCCCAAAGGACTCAGAGCTCAGAGGTCTGTCTGCCTGGAGAGCTGGGGATCCTGGAGAGAACACTGACCCCCTCGCTCATTCTCCGGGGGTCCGGGGTGGGGAGCTGCGCATGGCGGCTGAGCTTCCTCTCTGGGTCTGTTTCAGGAACTGGTGCTCTTATGTAGTGACCCGCACCATCTCATGCCATGTGCAAAATGGCACGTACCTTCAGCGAGTGCTGCAGAATTGCCCCTGGCCCATGAGCTGCCCCGGGAACAGGTGAGTGAGGCCATGGTAGGGAAGGAGCTGATGGCATTCCAGGTGGAGGCACAGCAGGGGGGAAAGCCTAGTGGTGGGAGTGCACTGGGTGTGCAGGGGAAGACTGGGACCCCAGGGTGGGTGGAGCAAAGGGACCATTGGCCCTGTGCCCGTTCTCAGCCCCTCCCCTTGTGCTCTTGGGACACCCTGGAGGGCTTCCTGGGGGAGGAGTTCCACCATTCACCCACATGCCTTCACCCAGTGAGCATTCACTGCTAGGGATAGGCTGGCTCAGCTTGCAGGGGCTGCCTGTCCAGTTGGTATCCAGATCCCCATGGCGGGAAGGTTAGGAAGGAAAAGAAGGGCTGAATCCTAATATGCAGAAGGAAAGAGGCTCCAAAGGGGCCTGGAGGGGGCAGAAGACCCTGGGGGCTCTGGGTTTGTCCCCACAGACAGTGGGAGAAACAGCAGAGGACCCTGTCTCAGCTGGGCCACCTGGGCACTCTTTCAGCTACAGAACCGTGGTGAGACCCACATACAAGGTGATGTACAAGACAGTGACTGCTCGGGAGTGGAGGTGCTGCCCCGGGCACTCGGGGGCTAGCTGCGAAGAAGGTAGGACTGCCCCAGGTTTGGGCCATGTGCTTCCTGGAGGGTGCATGGGAGGGAGCAGTAAACGTGGCTAAGTCAGTGGACACTGCAGTGTAAGGTGCTGTGCACCCTGTGGTGCCCTGCACAGAGCTGCCAGTGAGGCATGGCTCAGATACATTTGGTGCCTGCTGTCCCACAGTGTTGACCACCTGCCTCGTGGGAGACTCTCAAGACTCCTGAGAGATTTAATGCATGCTGTGTAGCTCAAGTCGCACTATCCCAAGCCTTTTCTCCAAACGTGGGGAAAACCCGGGCATGTGCATGAGAAGCAAAGGGCCACTGAGGTCAGCGGGTCAGCAAGCTTGAGATGGTTATACCCTTCCTGCAGGGGAGGAAACTGAGGCTCAGGAAGGCAATGGGCACATAGCTCCTAAGTGGCAGTAAGAACTGGAACCCTGGTCTTACTGGCTCCCGAGAGCCTCAGGGATGTGAGGACTCAGATGGTCACCCAGTGTGTGGGGTGTGTCCCAGGCAGAGGGTCCCTGCTCACTCCACCCTACTTCTCTTTGTGCCATGAGGGTGGCTCGGGGCTGAGCACCCAGCAGGGGCACAGAGGAGGCAGCCTGAGCCTCCCTGGAGCCTGGCCACACGGTTACCCGGCGAGACCTCTCCTGGAGGGCACCTGCCTCTGTGGTAAGTGGTCCAGGCCACTCCCACCCCTGCTGCCTGGCTGAACCCAGTGAGAGGAAGGTTTGGGGGCACCGGGCGCTGTGTTTTCAAGAATGGCCTTAAAGAGGATGGGCTGGCCTAGAACCAGCCTGAGAACCAGGCCTGTAAGCACCTCAATAGAAAGACATTGAGGGCCCCAAAGCAGCATGTTAATGTGAGCGTCAGCTGCAAGACGTATTCTGATGCCAGAAACATGAACGTGTGAAACACAGACTCCAAATCAAGGGACCGTGATGCTAACCGGAGTCACTATTCGTAGGTGCTTCTTGAAAGATTTACATGCTTCACCTCCCTGGAACCCCACGACAGCGCCGGTTCACAGAGGGGTCAACAGAGGCCCAGACATGTGGAGTGGAATCCCGTCCCATGGGGTGGAGGGCAGGGCTTTCCACAACGTGGAGAGAGAGAGGGCCTCATGGATTTTGATGGGGGTGGAGGAGTCCCCAGTGGAAATGGGAAGGAGCGGGGTGGCCAGGGAGAAGGAAGCAGCCCCAAGCCCAGCAGGGGTCCTGTACAGAGAGGCAGCCACCAAGGCCAGTGTTGGGAGGGTAGAAGGGGCAGGTGTTAAGGGGAGCCAGGAGCAGCACCCTCCCCTCCCTGCTGGGAGGAAGAGGGGAAGGCAGGACCCTGGAGGCCAGGAGGAGAGCTAGCCAGGAGGGGCTGCTGCCAAGGAGGCCACAGAGGAGCTGGTGGTGGGGAGGAGGCAAATCCCCAGGGTGTGGGGGCCACCTGGGCCTAGAGAGCCTGAGCCCAGGCAGGGCCTGCCCAGACAAAGGCCACTCTGTTCCTGGCTCCGGTCTCAAGGGCAGACCTTCCTGGGGCTGTGGGCCATCATGGAGGGGGTGAGGGCAGAGGACAGGTGGGGACAGCACCCATGCCCTTGAGTCCAGCAGCTGGAGGCCCTGCATCCAGGCACCAGGCTGAGGGCTGGGAGCTCTGCCAATGGTGAGGCAGGGGTACAAGACGGGATGGGCCAGGCCAGCCCTGATGTCTGCCAGCTCCCTCTGCAGGGCCTTCAGGCCCCAGCCTGGGGAGGGGTTATCCCAGGCTTCATGGGCCAGGCCAGCTCTACCACACACCAGCTGTGTGGCCTTGGGCCGGGGACTCCCCATGCATTGTGCAAGTCGTTGTGCAAGGGCCCTGTCTAGGGGGGCAGGGAGGCTGCAGTTCAAGCAGCACTTGGCTCATGCCCACTCAGAGGGAAGGGCGCCTCCTCTAATGAGCACCAAGCTGCTCTTGCAGCAGCCCAGGGCACACCTGCACTGAGTTTCAGTGTCCTCACCTATGAAATGGTCAGGATAGTAGAGTCTGCCTCCCAGGGATGTTGTGAGGGTGAAATGAAGCTGTAAAGCCCCTGCAGATGGTGTAGGCACCCATGGTGGACACCAGGTGATATCTGATGGGATAGGAAGGGTCAGCCTCTCCCCTCCCATAGGGTGGGACTGAGTAAGGGGATGCCCAGGCCTGGATGTTCTGGAAAACTGCTCTGCTGGGGCCCTGGGAATGGGGTGGGGAAGCATGGGGACATTGCTGGCCCATCCTAGCCCTGCCCTTCCTCTGACAGGAGGTTCAGGCCAGGTTCCCCCAGCTGTTTCCCCTGCTGGTGACTGCTCTCGTGGTCTGCACAGTGCTGTGGCATGACCTTGGAGCCATAGAGCTGCGTCACCAGGGGTGACAGGGCTCAGAGCAGCCTATGGTGAGCTGAAGGAGAGGGAACAGCCACCATTCCAGAATCTACCCCTGGATCAGCTGCACTCTGATGTGTGAGCTGGGGCAAGTCACTTCACCTCTCTGAACTTCGTCTCTATCTGGAAGTCACCTGAGATTGAAAAATACCCACCTTGTACTTTATTATGAGGACCAGAGACTCACACCTTGTCCATAGTAGGTGCTCCATAAATCTCTTCCTCTCCTCTTCGGCACCTGTGCTGGGGCTTCTGTGGTGGCTCTCAGGGACTGCCCTGCCTCCCACCCCTGAGATCCCACTTCTCAGCTGCTCGGCAAACAGGCCTCGAGTCTCCAGACTTGACCATGAGACCATGGACTTCACGGCTCTTAGCCCTGGTTTTCCCATCTACATGATGGGAATGTTCACTGTGATGTGGGAGGATGGTCTCTTTGATGTTCATGATAACCCTTGAGGAAGGGACTAGAATGGGCCTCATTTTATAGATGGGGAAGCAGGCACAGAGAGGTGAAGGGGCTGCTTGGGGCCACTCAGCACATGAAAGCCAGGACTGGGACCTGCCTGACCAAGCATCAGTCAGTGCCTCCAGGCCTTGGAAGGTGGGGCTGGATGGCAGAGAGGGAGCCTGGCCGAGGCTCTCACCTGGCTGCCTATTCCTCCAAAAACAATGAGCAAAGAAGAGCAAAGGCCTAATGTACTATGTGGGCTGGTCCTGACCTGCTGAGTGGCCTGGCTAGTGAGCTCTGCTGTAGCTTCACCCTGCCTCTAGGAGCTCTCTGCAGACAGATCTCTTGCCCACCAGCCCCATTGTTCAGACAATGAAAGTGAGGCTCAGAGAGGGTGTGGGTCTCATACAAAGTCACACAGCAAGTTAGCATCGTGGCCAGGATTCTCCGCAGGGCTCTCTCCTGAGGTCTGCAGTATCCCCCTGCCTCAGACCCTACTGCAGTAATGACGAGGGGAAGGAAAGTGGCCCCCACCCTCCATGCTAAACAGCCTGATTTGTACTCACCTGCATCATGTCATGGTGTCACCGTGCAGAAGGTCCAGATGTGGAAACTGAGGCTGGGAGAGGGGAATGCCTTGCTCATGGTCACAGCGGGATTCAAAGTCCCGTCAGTCTGACCCAGAGCCAAGATCTATCTTCTGTAGCAGCGCTGGCTGAGGACTTCCAGGGGGAGTGTGTTCTGGGGCACCATGAGGCTGGAAGAAGCCAGTCTCAGCCCCAGCCCCTCCCAGATAGAAAGAGGAATTGGGGGCTCCCTTGCCCTCCTCTCCCATGGGCCCCCCTGGAGCCAGGCTGCCTCTGTTTCTCCCGCACTGTCCCACTGTCTTCAGTGCACATGTACCTTCCCCATCTGTGCACCACCACAGCCCTTGTCTTCCATGATGGGGAACCAGAGAGGGAAGAAGTTTCCCAAGGTCACATAGCAAAAAAGCTTAAGAGCAGATTGGAGGTTCCAGCCTTGACCCTCTGTCTCTGCGCCATCCAAGGCTGGGCCCGTCCCACACACATCTTTCACACACTCACCAGATGCCACAGCTGTGCTTTACTCTGCCGATTCAGAGTTCCTGGGGCTAAACCCTGCACGAATGTGCCCATGTGTGCTACCACACACTCCTGTCTGGGAGGCCTGGCAGCCCCACCTGCCAACTTCTGGCCAGTGCATTCTCCACCCCCAGCCAGGCCAGTCCCCTCTTGCCATCCCAGCGACCCCAGCCTCACCCTCTCTTCATTTAACTCCCAGCCCACACTGGCCTTTTCCCCCAACACATGGCATCGGCAATGGCTGTCCCCTCTCTGCCTGTGACCTTCTTAGAGCTCCTCGTTGGCTATGATGGACCCCACCCTGCCATCACTATGCTTGCATCTCCAGTGCCTGGCATGGGCCTGGCGTAAAGTGGGCGCACAGGAAATGAATAGGAACCTCATTTTACCCCAAAGAAGGGGCCTGGCTAGTTACAGACTAGAGCTTCCCAGAGGCCTGCTGGAGGGTTCTTGGAGCTCCCGGCCCCAGCCCTGACCCTAATCCCTGGCTCTGGCCAACAGCAGCAAATATTTACATTTGCAAAGTAAATTCCCTGGAGGAGACCTGTGCTGGGGCTGGGGAGGCTGTACCCCTGTGGCCTGTGGTTACTGGACCCAGCTGCCCTGGAGGGTGGCCTGCAAACAAGGAAGCCCCTCTCTTGGCTCCTCGTCTGGGAGAGAAAGTCAGAAGTGGAGCCCACAAGCACTCAACATCTCATACCCATTCCCAGCTTAGGGCAGGGTTTGAATCCCAGCTCCCCTAGTCCTGCTATGTGGACGGGCACCTCTCTGGACCTCAGTGTTCTCATGAGGACCCAATGAAAAGAGGCACAAAGGCTTCTTAGCTCGGGCCCTGCACTAGGCAGAGGAAAGGCAGCTGTTTATGGGGCCACAGGGCTAGAAACTGCGGATGGCACTGACCTTACGGAGATCAAGACAGTGAGTGATGAGAGCTTCGGGGGATGGGTGCCCTGGTCTGTTCAGGAAGGCTTCCTGGAGGAGATGACATGGGAGCAGCAGCTGTGGGGATGAAGGTGGGGAGGGTGTGTGTGTGTGTGTGTGTGTGTGTGTGTGTGTGTGTGGCCAGTAGGGACCTCCCAGGTGGTGGGAAGTGGCCTGCAGTCAGGCTCCCAGAGTGGAGCTGGGGTTTGTGGTGCTGGGACCAGCTTGGAGCTCTTGGGAGGGTGAGATTGGGGCTGGGAAGAGGCTCTTCATGATGGACCACCAGGCTGGGATGAGGGGGGCCTGCTCCAGGGGCCCTGGCCCAACACCAGTGGGAGGGATGTGACATTTTTGTCCTACGAGAGACCTCCCCCTAACCCGTGGCTTTTCCCTACTGGAATTTTGTGAGCTATAGGACCCTTTCACAACCTGGTTTGTCCCTTAAAGTATTTCTATCCATTTATCAGAATTTGAGGGAGTTGGGGGATAATTTTTTGTGAATCCTGAATCCAAAGCCAACATTTCCTAGGTTTTTTGACAGTTTTGTTATTTCTTCGTATTTTCCTTTTAATTTTAACTCACAATTACTTTGAGCCAGTTATGTCTGTGCTGCTGGTCAGGCCATATTTCCATTAGGTTTTCGAGTTCTCTCCGGCTCCCCGTGAAATGTCCGAAAGCAAATTGGTTGAAAAAGAATTTTCAACCACAAGTTCACAGATTAATAATTCAAGGGCACCCTAATGGGACATGAGAACATTTATGTTCATTTTCAGGACAGTGTCTGCTGTCCCATTATTTTGCCCTTTATTTTGTTTGCTTGCTTTAAATTCATTTTCCGCCAGTGACTCATGCATCCATCAACAGAAGGTTTATTCAGGCTGCTGTGGCCCTACTGTGTGCTGGGCCCTTTTCCAGGCCAGGCACAAGACAGAGAAGTCCCTGCCCTGGTGGGGTGCAGGCTCCAGCCAGCGGGGCAGACAAGGGGCAGGAGACTGGGGAACTGGCACAGTGAGTGACATTAATAGGGAGTGGAAAGTGCCATAGAGAAAAAAGGAAAGCCATGGCAGGGTAGTGGGGAGGCCAGGCTGCGCCAAAGCTTCCTCCAGAGAAAATCCAAGCTTCCACCGGCTTGGAGGGTTGGCCACTCTTTTGCTCAACTTCCTGGAAAGAGTAAGAAAATGGCCTTTGACATCTTCACCTGGGAGCAAAGAGAAAGGAGGGCTTGGTGGAGCCGGTCTCCTCAGAAACCAGCTTTCCTGCTACCGCTGGGCTTCCTGGCTTCCGTCCAGTGGGACTTGGGGGCTGACTCGAGGTGCCAGGTGGCCCAGGAAAGAGGAGGTTGGGCCCTGGAGTTAGACTAATGTGGGTTCGAATCCAGACTCCAGCCTTCAGACGGACAACCAAGGGCCAGTCACCTCACTTCTCTGCCTCACTTTCCCCCAAGGGGAAATATTTACATTTTTCTCATCCATTTATCTGAGTGTGGGGGACAGAGGAGTGGTAATGCCCATCTGCTCTGGGCCTCAGTTTCCCCATCTGTAAAGTGGAGGCGATACTAGCGCCCACACACAGGGTTTTGAGGGTAATGAGTTCAGGCTGTGCATGTGAAGTGCTTAGACTGTGCCAGGCCCGGAGTGAGTGCCAAACAAGTGTTAGCTGTTATTAGTATTACCTACCTTGTAGGATCGAGCTGGGCTACGTAAAACACTTAGCGCTGGCCGTGGCTCACAGTGGCATCCCCCCATCTTGCCCACAGAGCCCCCAACCCCTGCCTCAGTGTTGGGCTGCCAACCCACCTTCCTCCATCCTGGGTGAGATTTACCCCCTGCACCGAGTCAAGTTACAGGTCCCTGGGGAGGGGATGCTGGCGACACAGGTCGAGCCTGAGTGCAGGCCCTATTGTGAGACCTAGAGCGGGGTCTGGCAGCCTCCCTGCTGGGGGCTGGCCAGAGGGACCAGTCTGGTTTGAGTTCCTGGCGCCTCTCACTCCCTACACGAACCCACAGCCTGGCTCCGAGCTGCCAGGCCTGCGCCTTATTTGGATCTTGTCTCCCCCACCCCGACAATACTTCGTGGCCTTAAAAGGCAGGTCTGGGGGGCAGAGGGGAGCAGTTGCCCTGCTGGCTCCAGAGCCTCACCAGCTGCACCCCCGCCCCTGGCTTGGCCAGCCCATCCCTCCAGCTGTGGAGAAAACCAGGCCCCCAAAACCAGACCAGCCAGGGAGCCTACTCCTCATAGGGGTGGTGACAGGGGTGGGCTCCTGGAACAGGCTTCCCTTGCCCTCCCAGGCAGCCAGCCTCCCTCTGTTTTTCATTTAAAACCAGGTCTGGATCCACTTCAGTGTCTTCTTACCAAGTGTGGCAGGGAGAGGGTGGACAGCAATGTCACAGATGCCATTTATTGACTGCCTGCTGTATGCCAGGCCCTGTGTGTGCACAGTGAGCCCTTTGCACACATCACAGGCCTCAGCCCTCACACCAGCCTGGAAGATGTAGTGGCATTATTACCCCATTTTACATATGGGAAAATAGGTCCAGAGAGGACAAGTCACACAGGTCAGCAAGTGACAGGGCTGGGACCCAACCTTGCATCTGTTACCTCTAAGTTTTTAACACATGCAGCTTGCTGGCATCATTGGGGAAGCCCCCAGCCTCACCCATGGCTCCTACCCGTTGCCAGCTCCCTCTCCCCAGCCCCATCAGGCTGGCAGCCTTGTTCCAGCTCAACACAGTTCAGGCTGTGTGACCCAGGTAAACTGCCCCACCTCTCTGGGCCTCTGTCTTCCTCTACACTAAGAGAGTAGAGATCCCTGCTGGGACTAGAGTGGCAGGTGGGGCAAGGGGGTCTGACCAAACAAGGATGGCGCAGGTCAGCAGGGCTCTCATTCCCATTGTCCCTCAGTTGCAGGCTCCTCTGGCTTCGTGGAGCCCAGGTGGTCAGGAAATACCATGCGGCGGATGACTCTTCGGCCCACAGCCTTCTCAGGTCGGTCCTGGAGCAGCTGCTTGGGGTGCCCCTGGGCTAGGAGGGGCCTGGAGGGGGCACGGGCAATGTGACTGCCCTAAAAGCCATGTGAGTCCAGCAGTGGAGGGTCAGGAAGAGCCCTGCCCTTGCCTACCCCAGGTGGAAAGAAAACCTCGAGGGGGAGAGGAAGAGCCCCAGAGGAGAGTCTGACCTGGGCCCAGGCACCCCGAGACCCATGATCCCCAGACTCTTGCCCACACAGGTCAAAACCCCCCCATTTTCTCTTTTTATTTAAATTACCTTTCTCTGAGCATCTGCAGTATGGGAGGCACTGTGCCAGGTGCTTTCATCGTCAACTTGTTTAAACCTCACAGCTGTGTCCCTATCCCCCAGGAAGGCATCACTGTCCCCATTTTAAAGAGAAAGAAGTTGAGGGTCAGAGAGAGGATGCTTCCTGCCTGAGGCCTCACAGCCAGGAAGAGGCAGCACTGGGACTCGACCCCAGGCTTTATGCCTGTTACGCACTTGTCCACCCTTGCTCTGAGCTCCTGTCCTCAGGTGTGAAGGGGGGTGACACTTGTCCTAAAACACGGGATCACAGAGAGGACTGGAGAGACAGGCTTGGAAAGTGCTCAGCAGTGCCGGGCAGCCAGGAGGCTCCACAATTGGCCAGTTGTTAAGAATAACTAAAGGGTATTGCTGAGGCCAGAGGAAGGGTCAGGGGGTGGCACCTCTGAAGCCAGCCCATTCCAGACTATAATGTGCCAGTCCCCAAAGCCAGCAAGCCCAGGCAGCCCTGCCCAGTGGGAAGCAACAGGATTTCCTGCCCTGACTTCCCGGAAAGGAGTCGTTTTGGATCCCGAGGCTGCGGGGTTGGCTCCCAGGTCCTGCTCTGGGAGAAACCTGCAGGGCATGGTCCCCCCTGGACAGGCTGTTCTCTGCAGCATCTTCCCTGTGCTGGGCCATCTTGTGGGTTTGAGTCATCAGGTACCTGTTTGCTTCCTCCATCCTGCCTCCAGGGACTGAGGGGCTCCAAGGGGACCCTGGTGACCCCTGGCCCCAGCCCCAGCCTCCTCCCTCCCGCAGGTTGTGTCAACTGCAGCAAAGTGTTGGACCTGGCAGAGCGGCTCAAGGTGCTAGAGGCCAAGGTGGGTGAGCAGCTGTCCCCTCGCACCCAGCTTCCCCACCCCCTCTCTGCACACCATGCCCACATCTGTGGGCGGGCAGTGTCCCTGCCAGGCATACACCACCCTCCCGTCTGTTCTCATCCAGCTCTTTGGACTGCTCCCCAGTGCCCCTTCCTGGGAAGCCTGCTCTTCCTCTAGGAGTCCCATGAAGTTCCCCCCACTTGCACCCCCATTTTCATCCCAGTCAGATATTTGTAGACACTCCTAGAGCTCGTGGCTAGGCCCTTCCTTGCCCTGTCACCTTCACCCTTTATTCCCGTCTCCCAGTTTCAAAAGCAAATCATCTATGGCACGTCTCAAATTATTTGAAGATAAAACAGTTTTGACAATTAAAAAGTAAGACACTTGTGTTTTCAGAAACATGAAAAACTCAGAACTGTGAAAAACCTACCAAAAAACCTTTCGCAGCAGTCACCTGTGCTCCCAGAGAGAGCGACTGTCAACGTTTAAGCACCTTTCCTTCCAGACTGTCTGGCATATACCCGTTGCCTGCATATCCTCCCCTCCATTGTTCCTTCCTCTGGGAATTTATCTTAAGGAGGTTAGATGTCAAGATGTTTACCAAAGTGTTAACTATTCACAGGGAAATTTGAAACCAGAGAACAGAATGGGTGGTCGCATATTGAGGGAGCAAGGCACAGTGGAATATCAGACGGCTGTGAACAATACCTCCATTTTCTTTTCTTTCTTTCTTTTATTTTTTATATATTTTTATTGATTTCAGAGAGAGGGAGAGAGAGAGAGAAACGTTACTGGTGAGAGAGTCATTGACCGGCTGCCTCCTGCACATCCCCTGCTGGGGATCGAGCCCACAACCCGGGCATGTGCCTTGACCAGGAATCAAACCACCATCTCCTGGGTCCTAGGGCGATGCTCCACCGCTGAGCCACACCGGCCAGGCAACACCTCCATTTTCTAACTTGAAAAGATGCCCCTGATGTATCAGGTGGAAAAGCCAAACTTCTGAACAGCATATACTATCACCCCAGTTATGAGCTGTGGGAGCCTCAGGAACCCCACACACTGCCCATGCTCCCCCCAGGAGAAGCCGCCAGGAGAGCAGCTCAGGCCCACATCTGAGGTGTGGTTCTCGGGTCTGCCCCAGAGTTTCAGCTTTTCCCTGGACGGACCCACACAACCCCCCGCCCCCCCGTCAGCGGACATCCGGGCCTTTCTTTAATCCCCAGCCTGTGGCTCAGGAGGCACTGCCGACCTGTGAGAGGGCCCCTCCAACACACACGACATCCAAACACCCCGTGGTATTTCACGTCAGACCTTCCCAAACTACCCTCCAAATTCAGTAGAAATCCTTCCAGCCCGTGGTGCTTTAACAGACCAAGAGAAGTTTCACGTGATTTATGGAGGCAGGCATAAGAAAAAACCACACAGCCCGGCAAACATGGCGACAGTCACAGAACTCAACTCGGGTGGCAGTGGTGGTGTGTAATGACTTTTCTACAACAAATGGGGTGAACTGTGCAGTTTGAAAACCACAGTTACTTCTGATGAGGTTCTGGGCCGAACTGGGCTCTGCTGTCTCCTTGGGCTCCTGCCCCCCACACTGGGGCCCATCGGCCGGCCTGTCCCTGGTGAGGCCCTGGCACCCACCCTATCTCTCTTCTTTTTCCTCCACAGGTGGCAGTGCTGACTGTCACCGAGCAGGCAGTGCCCCCAACCCTAGCTGCCCCCAAGGACCCGGCCCCACTCTGGGGCTCCCCAGCTGCCCAGGGCAGCCCTGGCGATGGAGACCTCCGAGGTGAGTTGGTCAGTGGGGAGCACACTCCCTGTGGGAATGAGTTGGGGGAATGGAATACCAGTCTCCACTCTGCTGTTGAGTCCCTGCTTACCCCCTTGTGGGCCTGGGTCTTCCCAGATCTCAGGGGCCCCTGAGCACTGAAGTCCTGGGAGGCCCAGCAGACCTTGCCTCCCATCTCCTCCAGTGGAGCTGGGGGCAGGGACTCTGGATGACACAGACCCCTGCCTCCCACCCACCCCCAACTCCAGGGCTGCCAGGAGCCAGAGAAAACACAAGGGCCCCGCTGCTCCCTCGAGATGGTAGGTGCTGGCTGGGGGGCCAGGGTCGGGGCAGGAGGAAGGCCAGAGCTGATGAGATTTCTCCCCTAGACCGAGTTGGTGCCCGGGGGCTTCCTGGGCCCATTGGCCCCAAGGGAGACACTGGCAGCCGGGGCCCAACAGGAATGACAGGCCCGCCAGGTGAGTGTCCACTGCACTGCCCCCCCAACTTTCTTGGCCAGGACCCCTAGGTGGACCCAGGCTGGCATCTTCCTTCCCCGACCCTGACATAGCCAGAGGTGGCCTGGGCCCCTTCCACTCGCTTGTCTCACCACCACCCATCCAAGGGTGCCCCACTCAAGCCTGGGCCCCTCAAAACCCTCTTTTATGTTCACTTGGCCCATGTTCTCTGGGACCCTCCTCCCAACAGGCTCTGAGCTGGGCTCTGGGGTGGGGTCAGACCAGTCCCTGCCCTCCTGGAGCTCCCAGATGGGTGGAAGGGTAGGGCTAGGCAGAAGGGAAACAGCAGCGCCCACCCATGTGACCAGGCTTCTTATAGGGGCCGTTGCAGGTATGGGAGCCCCAAGGAAGGAATCTCAGACCCAGCCTGGATAGGGTGGGGGATGGAGAGCGCTTCCCAGTGGGGGTGACATCTTAGGTGAAGCCTAAAGGATGGCCTGAAGTGTACACCACGCAGAGCGAAGGGAAGGCTGATAGAGGAAACAGCTCATGCAAAAGCCTGGAAGGGAGAGGAGAGAACATTCTGGAAACATTCTGGGAGACAACATTTACTAAGCACCAAGTGTCCATTGTCCTAAAGCCCCTAGGGAAGGCTCTTTTTTTTTCTCCTAAATAGATGGCCCAGGAAGTCAGAGCCAGCAATTGCCCTGACTTGTGGCCTCCAGAGCTCCCTCGGACCTGCTGCACCGGGCTGCCTCTTCCGGCCCCTTGCAGCCACCTTGGGGCTCTTTGCTTCCTGTGTACCCTCCCACCCCCCTGGTTCTGTTGCAGGCCCCCAGGGCCCCCCAGGGAGCCCTGGCCAGGACGGAGCTGTGGGTATCCCTGGAGAAAGGGGACCTCCGGGCCCCCCAGGGCCTCCTGGCCCCCCTGGCCCCCCA